ATGTAATTCGTATCACAAATGTGTATTCGAATCACACATTATTTCAATTAAAATTAATACATTTAAGTAATATATTTAATATTAATAAGAGAGCGTACAATATTTATTAAATCAAACAAAACATTATAACTTATGTAGTAATCACTCTCACATGAACCTATAACGGAATTACGTAAATTTAATAAATAATGAAACATAGATACTGATTAATTGACTAGATTATTAATTGGCACAAAGAGCAAGATATAATCAATAGAATTGTGAAATAATCAAAGTATTTATATGCATTATGTAATAATAATTATTATTATTATAACAATATAATTTATTTGTAAGATTCTATTGTTTATATATACAAATTACAAATTACACTACACACATGCATACACATTATTTATCTAATTATTTTATCATATTATTATTAATCGAATAAATATATTTTTTCAAACTATATTTAATAATTGTGGGAAGTAAATGATTATTAATCTTCTCTTTACGCATAAAATTAACTTTTATTCTAAATTTTCTGAGTTCAGAATTGTTAATTAAAATATTAATATTCTGAATATTACAGCATGTTTAATATTTTATCTACGATTATAATAATGATGTCAAATATATACATATTATATGTATGTTAATTGCTATGCGAATGTATTTTGTTTCCCTTTATCATCATACGGATTAAATGTGTGCATATTCTCTTGAATCACTTGAGATTACATAATTTCTATTATTATATTACACAATTTCTGTTTATTTTATTACTTTTGCTACATAGACTCAATTATACGATTAATACACTTAATACATTATTATTTTACAAAGAATTACGTTCAGCTTAATAATTCTTAAAACATACGTGAAAAATATAAAAATTAAATATATGACTATTTAATATAAAAATTAAATATATGACTATTTAATAGTAAAATTAAATATAAGACTATTTTATGGAATTTTTATAACTTTTTAAATTTTTTATATACTTTTTGTGGCATAGAAACTGAATTTTCTTAAAAAAATTATCGACTTATTTCAAATTATTTCCTTTAATTTCTGTATAATTGTTTTTTGTATAATTATGAAATGCAACGAATTATGTATTATTATTACGTGATTAATAACGTGATTACACATGCACATATTATTATGAGTAAACAATAAGTTGTCTTAGAAACAATAAAATGATAAGCCTTTATTACAAAAAGGTAGCCCTTTTAGATTAACATTTATTTAACAATGCTTAGAGCTACGGTCATGCGGAATTTACTTGACGAAATTGTCGCACATATTTTCATTAAAGAACTCATAATTAAGTTTAATTACCAGAAGTTGAATAACAATTTTATTTATTAATTGTGTTTACAAAAATATTTTAAATTATGATTAAGTTATTGATAATAATCCAAAAAGCAAATACCATATAATTTTTTATTTACTGTAAATTTTTTATACAATGCATATTATATAAAAATGCATTGTGGAAAATATATACAAATAATATATATATAAAAATAAAAGAATGAAATTTCAAGAGCTCGAATTTTGTGCGATTAATTAATTTGATAAAATAATGCATATTTGTGCAGTGACAATTAACGATAAACTATATTACGGAAGCTCGTCGATTATTATGATTGAAATATTTTCTGTTTTAACAAACATTATGTGATTTCTATTTATAATAATTATATTGTACGATTTATGCTATTATGATTAAAAAGTACATTTTAAACTCAATGAGAGAAGATTTTACAGTTATTACACATTATTACAGTTATTTATTCAAAAGTTGTACTGCTTTAAAAGAATATGATATAATAAATAAATCAGTTTCAGCTAAAAATGTTACCTGTATAAATTAATATATAAAAAATGATACACATATAAATCAATAAATCACGAATTATATATACATTTAACTTAATCTTAAATCCTATACCGCATAAAATCTTTTTATTGATATTATAAAAAATTTGTTACTCTATTAGAGATATTAAATTTATTCACGCAATAAATAACGTATTAAAAAATAATATAAATTATTACATAAAAATTGTAAATGTCGTATGTTCAGTTTTGACTTGTTTTCTGCCGTCACGAAGAAACGGTATATAACGTTCGCATGAAATAAAATATCACCGGCAGCAATTTACATAAAGTGAGAAATGACGCCTTGAAATTCTCGCTGTAAAATGAGGAAAATTTTAATTTCTCGTCGCTGTGCATGCGTAACTTTTGAATGTCAGGAATTCTAAAACGTCGCTTATTACAGTTGTCTAGTGGGGGAAATTAATAACAGAAATCTCGAAGGAAAGAACGATTATATTCATTCAATAAAAAAAAACATACCAATAGAGAACTCACTCATTAGCGAAGTATAAACGGACATTGCACATCAAATTAATCCGGAATGAATGATTCATGAGACTTCGATTTGCGGGACGTAACGTTCGTTTCGCAACCACAAAAATGGAGTAGGAATCGAACAAGATAGGTAGTCTATATTAATTAACGCAATTATTGATACACTTCCGTACTTTTTAACATCGATATAAATAAACAATCGCAACGATCGTGTTATATCGCGCGTATGTGACAAACTGTAAAGTATCCGGTCGCATTATATCAAGGCCTATATACCTATATATACCTATATACTTTATAGCCACTACTATCGCGCACGAATAAATATCGGCGCACTTCTTGCGCTCGTTATCACGCGCAAATAAATATCACTCGAGTCCCATGCACTCGCGGCATTATCGGGCTCGTTCTGCGCGTCACAGATGCATTAATTATCTGAACGTAGATTACGCGCAGCAAAATTAGGTATCACATTACAGTTGCGCTTTGCAATCTGATGTTTACACTTTTGTATTATTATAATAATCGCATTGCGATTATGCGAACAAGTATTATATATAATCAATATCGATTATGTAAACGAATAATTTAAATGTGGCAAGGATTGTCTATAGACTGTCAGGTAAACTGCATAATTGTCACGTTATAGTTTATTAAATTTTATGCAATACAATAAACATTTCAAATTACATTTTGACAATCAATTATCACAGATTTGAATATTTTTATATCCCATAGATTTATGTATTTTATTTTATTACATCATCCTTTTTTGTGTGGACCGTATAATTAAAATAACTACATTCAGAAAAAATCAATACATAAAGTAGTTAAAAAATTATACATAGATTTTCGTTAATGAATTTAAGAATGTACTTCTTTTCTTTAATCAATTTTTATAAAATATATATATAAATCCTTATATTTATCACATTTAAATATAAAAAATATTCATATATATAAAATGATAAATAAAATAATAAAGGAAATAAAATGATTATTACGGTATTCCTTGAGCTTTGTTCAACCATACATCTTCATGATGGGTACTTCGAAAATACTAGCTGTCTCGATAAAGCAATTGATCCGATTAACAGAAGTATTGGATACGCAGTATCAAGTGCAAGCGAGTATATACATACATACATATACATATATATATATATATATATATATATATATATATATATTGTATATACACAAGATAGGAAACAGACTACAGTTTGGCAGGAAGGAGAAATTACGACTTTCGAAATTTCAGACTGTGCCACGCTTTCGCGTCTAATTAAACTTTGACTTCTCTCGTTTATACGCCGTCAGAAGCTAGAAGTGGCATGTTGCCGTAACCGAATGCTTGTGCCTGGAACATCTCGCAATTCGATTCTGTAATAACATTATCTCTACCACCAAAGGACTCAGACTTCCATTCGCGAAATATTTTACTAGTACGAGTTAGCTTTTCCTCGCCTCAAATGTTTCTTAAATCAACATGGTTGTCTTTCTCTCAGAACACATATTATATATTATTATTATTATACCAAAACAGTTAACAATAATAAAAATAAAAGACGTTAATAATTCATGAATATCTGATTATGCGCAATTTAAGTGTTAGTTGAAACACTACTACTCATCGCCTTTAGTTTGTAATGCAAATATAAAATATCTGCTAAACTAACATTTAATAACTTAACTTTTTACATTTTATGTTTAATACAAAATTATCCAATATTTACATGTATCAATGTTAATAATATTATGGTAACTGTTTTTTGTTATTATTTTTAGCTCATAACTTTCTTTAATTTTATATTCTATATCAGTGATTTAAATAGATTAATCAATAGATTACTGATTTTTTGCAAGACCAATATTTATATCGCGCGTTTTTATCTGCTATAACAATCTTTCCTAAAAAATTCTTGTATTTTCTAGGACTAAAAAATATATGATATCGTAGAAAAAACACAAAACCATTTTGCTAGTATTTCTATTTGTGATAAACTCACACGGTTTCGCATGTTCCAATATTGAGTAATCACTATATGTATAAACGCGGATTTTTCACAACAATGTCGCCGTAAAACTATAACCGATTGCATCCGAATCTCGTCAAAAAAATATCTGCTCAGTTACTAAAATAGTTTCACAGAAAGAAACAAATTGAAAAAGCGCAACACAGGACTACTCAATTGAAAAATCGATAAAATAATAAACAATATACTTATATAATACGCATAAGCTATTCGCAATATAATATACTGCATTAATTCTATTTATCTATAAGAGAATTGCATTTAATTTTGTTTTATTTCATACTTTGATTTTTTATCGAAAATGCAGATCGTCGCTAATTTACGTATCACTTTTATTCCTAAATCTTTATATTCGTGACCACTGTCTCTTTATTTTTAATAATCAAATATTATTTAAAATATTAATTGACATAGTTATATCTGTGTATCATTTACTCGTACATCTAACTTTATCTAATCCTTTTTTTTATAATACACGAAGAAAATATCCTATCAAAAGATCGCATAAATTAAAAAAGTCGCACACATTACATTAATTTTTATAAAAATAATATAATCCAAACTATATATATAATTTTTTACATAATTATTCTAACCGTAAAAAAAAATAAATAAAATAAGATTTACGATAATTTTTTTCTTAAACGATGAATTGGGTAATAACATTCTTTTACGAGACAGAAGAGCAAAGTAATCTTAAGGAACCGACGGCCTGGCTAAAGAGAGAACAGAGTGCGCCTCTCAGGGATAGTATCGTGATCAACGCCGTAAGAACAAGTATAACATCGTCGGCGTACTCTACTTCCCCCATATAATAAATCCATTTCTTTCTGTAACCGTAACATTGCGAGACCATACCGATGACGAAGCCGGCGGTGCCCAGAAAATTGTGCAGAAACTTGGTAACAACCGGCCGCACGAACTTGCGCAGCTTCCACGCGATCCATACCGGATACCCAAAGATCGTTACTACGCATACAATCACCAGGGAGGCAAAGCCCGTGATACCGTGAATCGAACGGAAGTGGACCGTTTTGGCGTTGATCATCAGGCCCACACCCACCAAATTGAAGATCAGTCCCACAGCTTGCAGGATCCAGTGGAGATGTTTGTTGGCCTGACGCGAGAGACGACAAGTCAGAATATTATCACTCGCCAGGACAACAAAGGCCTCCGACATCAACAGAACGTACTGAAAGAATGAAATTCGTGAACAGGGCTGAAGTTTGAATCGTTTGGTTAAGTCGTTAAAAGTTCTTTGGCCATCTAGTTTGGCCTAAACTCTAGATGTGGAAGGAACCACGTTCGATACTACGGCAATTCCACGCTGGACGTTACACGACGGGGCAAGTGGATGTTGTAATTTGAGTTTCGAGAGTCGCTGAAACTCAATTACGACATGCACTGTATAATGCTTCTTGCTGTCGCGTACACAATACGATTAAAATATCAGCGTCTTATACTCATCGTCACTTTTCATCAGGTCTAATTATGCATATCTGAACAGTTTTTATGCAGATGTTTCTGTGACAAAATTAGAATGCCCTCAAAACCTACTTTGTAAAAATGGAACCAATAGAACTTTATACTAGAAATAACGATTACGGAAATAAAAAATATAAAAATACCTAAAATGTCTTTAATAAAATTAATTAACACATAGATACTTGATTTGATTTATAAAAAGATCGTCCGTTTTATTTTTAAGAATATGAGAACACAAGACTATAAAATTTTATTCTACGATATTTAGCTTGAAATACGATGCACTGCAAAAAAAAAATACGCAATGTTCCAAAAACCCGTGTATTGACTACATATGCGCATATTCTAAAAGTTGAGAAAATTCTTGAATATTTATCAATGTAAAAGGAATAAAACAAATATGAAATCGAGAATAGCTAACGCAGAATGTATCTTCGTACAAAGTAAAAATATACGTTTCCGTATAAAAAAAGGCTGATATGATATATGATATACTCTCTCTTAGATACATTTATTATTATATTTATCAAAAAATATCTAGAAAAAATTAATTATGTTTATCTGTTGACCGCGTTTGCGAACAGAGAATTTCATAGAGAAATGTATTTATATATATATGAGAAACTGTTAATTTAGACGGATCAAAATTAATGATCCATCCATGTTTAAGCTCCGCTTTGCAAGGATAAACGGGTATAAGCAATTATCGTTGCAGTTGAAGCCCGAGCGATCCGGGACTTTGTTACAAGGAAAAGATAAGCGCTACGATTCATTACAAGTTCGGTCGTAAACTCTCGCATATTGATACGACGAGTTCAAGGAAGAATGTAATTCACAATGAGCTTTTCTTGGCGCAGCTTCGCGCGTGTATCAGATGCATGTCGATGAGGTACGTAATAAATGAAAACGTCTTGCAAATGCGAGGAGAGAAGGCTTTAAAAAAATTTACATCCGTGCGAAACTTTTATCCCCGCAATGTGTTTCATCGCGGCTAAAAAAAAAAGAAAGCGCTATCTCTTTACAGTTATATTTAGGAGATTCTAAGAGCGAACGTATATATGGCTCATACATATATTGTGTGTGACAATTTTTTTTTTTCCTTTTCATTTTTAACAATTTCTCAAATAATGTACTACATTCCTTGAATTATTCATCACGATCCACTTGGAAAATTTTAAGTGGTTTTACATGTTTTATAAATCTGAACCGTAATTGCCATCTCGTGCCGTTATATCGTATAATAAGGTGAAATTAAAAATCACGCAATATCTTGTAGAGTAGGTAACTATAAGCAAAACATGACACTTTCTAGATTGAATATGCGCGTCTCTATTAATTGATATTTCGATACAGTAATAAACAGGAAAATTAATTATTGCTATCGATTTATGCCTTAAGGGCAAAGCAAAATTTGATACGCTTGTGTAGATTATATAAACTTACTGTATACCTCGTGCACGAAGACGTAAATATGGTATAAAGTTTAATAATAGAAGAAATTCTATATACAAAAAATAATGTTCTTTATATAATTATTATTTTAAAATTAAAATATGTACTATATATAAAATTTATATTTTTACACAATCTTAATAATGAGCAAACAAATTCATTTTTAATCAAGTTTTCAAATATTTCAACATCGTATGTAATTATAAGAAGAGAATTATAAATTTTTTATCGCCGAACATTATTGCTTGTTTAATTTATTCGCGTACTCGAGATTTTTAATGAAATTACATGATTTTTTTACCACCAAAAGTATTTTAATTAATTTAAATATTTCTCTGGAGCAAGCTCAAAGAGCGTGAACGAAGTTTGCTTTGGCACTTGATTACGAGGGCGGTGATATACGCAGCGCGATCAGTTCGACCAATTTACGATGAGTTACGATGCTTCAGAATAAACGGCGAAGGAAGAGAAAGATCAAACGCGTGTTTCACGAGAGTGAGATACTTACCCCGATAGTGCAGAGGATTACGTGTATATTTGTTACGGCATATTTCTTCGCCGAGTAATACACAAGGTACGCCGTTACTGCTATGATCAGTGCATGGTTAATCGCGTCCATTGCAGAGATAAATATACGTTGAGCGCTACATCTCAGCTCTCCGTTTTCGGAGCTTACAATACTTTTAGTGGAATCGTTACGTGCAATTCTCGACGTAGATTTTTCTGTCGATTGGAGCTCGACATTGTTTTTATCGGCCATTGTCCTGCAACACATGTCATTTATTATATCATCAGTGCTATAATAATCACTTATTAATTTCTGGGATTTCCGCCGAGATTTTCCGCTGAACTTGATAACATTTTTCATTTTTTAAACTAAGTTTGATATGATATTGCTGACACAAAATAAATGAAAATTTTTTAGAATAACTTTATATATTTTATCTTTTATTTTACTTATTTAGAAATTACATTGTTTAATCTCTTTTATTGAATATATGTGTTTATATAAAAATATTAATTTAGTTTATTTTATAATTACTATTATTTTAATTAAAATAACATATATAATTATATATATTTTTTGTACTCATTGTAAGCGCACAATACATCGTTATCAATTTACAATTTATTCGATGAAATGTTATCGATTCAAATACTTGGAACTGATATATGTATTACGCAATATCCACATAAAAGCAACTATGCTTAGAATATTTATATAATAAAATTGTCGCAACTGATTGACATATTAATTAATGTTATTTAAAGGGGAAAGTACGTCTTGAAAGCGCTGATTCACACTTATTTAACATGATATGCAAACAAGGAAAGTTTACATCTTTCCTTATATCTTTTTTCCTGTTGTATTTTACTTGGACTACAATTCTTATGACACATATTACGGTGCTATAAAAGTTAACGACCGTATCCCCATGATATATAAAAATATTTATAGTGTCAGGTCGTGTTCAAATAGAAACATGAAGGGTGATGAGGTATCTAGTCTGAATGTGATCTGATTCCAAATGCACCGCATTTACTGTTCTTTTGAAAAATCAGATACTTTTGTATGCTCTTGTACATGCGATTAATTTTGTTTTAAATTTATAAATTAAATTTAAGTTTTACAGTTAAGTAAAATTTCAATGAAAATCCTTCTTAGTTAGTAGAAATTTACCTAAATGTGCTTGTGTGAGGAAAATGCGATTGCATGAACAAACGCAACATAGTCGCAACATATTCTATTATGGAAATGTAGTGGTGGCATTTACATAACTCAACAGAGGCTGGTACGACTTGACAAAATATTCTTGAAAGTGTTGTACATTAACGGTATATAATATATCAATAAGAATTAAAGTGAAAAAAAATTGTGTAGATTTGCAATCAGCAAACATGTGTGAATCAAATAATGTAATATTTTTATTTCAGGGCATTATTTTACATATTTCAGTTTCTAGTATTAAACTGAATGTTGACAAATTCATTTAATTCTATAATCCATTATTTATATCTTTTTGAACGCTCTCTAATTTGTTCGTTTTTTTAAAAATTTTAATTAATATCATCGATGGCATTTAAAAAATGAACATAAAATATCGTATATCATATTTACTCAAGCAGCCAGAAGAATATTAAATACATATTATTATTAAAATTTCACTGTACAGCAATATTACAATATATATAAATATTGTAATATTAATTAAGTTTTAATAATGCAAATAACGATTGATATTGTTTTGACGCGTCTTAACAAAATGATCAATTTATCCAATTTCAAATTTAATTTAAAACATAGATACTACCTATAGCTAAATTTGATATGTATGCAACTTATTAAATAATCAATTAAGCAATTGAATAATTAATTATAAGCAAAAATCAAATAATTACGATAATCGCGGCTCAATCAGTTTTATATGATTTTTAGATATACACTTAATTTTTATCAAGCAATTTTGAAAAGAATTTACTTATAATTTAATTGATTTATCAATTAGCAACTAGATCTCCATGAAATTTGTCTCTTGCAATACTAAACTAAATTATCGGGGCATTTCCCTACAAACTTTGATGTGCAAAATCTGTTTATAGATGATATAATCCGCGTATAATTGATAAACCTCAGGTAATTATGCCTGAATTTATCTCTAAACAATCTTAAACTCTATAGCTGCTCGAAGAAAATGGGTTGACTTTTAAAGCAAGCTTTAAAATTGAATGGTTTAAAGCTTAAAAAGAAAGGAATCAAAATCAATCCGTGTGCGCGGAAAGCAGAAAATAGGCAGTTTGCCGAACGAGGTTACGAGAGCGAACCTATTGCTTCTTCGATCCACTTGTTCCAACTTGTTGTTTCTTCCTTAATTACTACAATTTCTTCTAAATTTAAACGATTTGAAGAATTTGATATTAATTATATATAATACAAAATTAATATTTGTCCTGGTCTGTTTGTCATTACCGAAAATATAATAATGTTAAACTATCGAAGATGTTTTTTTTTTGCTTTTTTGTTAGACAAAAATAAGAAAAATTATATCACTAACATGAATAAAATATTGAAATGTAAGAACATTTGATCATTCAGAATATAAATAATATCAATGAAATTTTGAAATCAAAATTTCTTTTTTTAACATAAAATATTAAAATTTGTGAGAAGAAACATTTTTCAGAGTATAATATATCTAAAATAAAACAAGCGTGTGATAATTTTCATGAAAATTTTCATTAAAATAATTCTTAAAATACGCAAGTTGATAGAAAATCCGCTTAATGATTTATCTCTTCTAAAAACTAAAAGATTAATTTTAAATATAGTGCAGTGTATTCTCTGCATCGCTTCACATAACTATAATTTAGTAAGAAAAATTAAAGTTTGCAATAAAATAATAAATTAATTTCTCTGTGTGTTTGCTGAAAAATAAATAAATGGCAAAGCTGCGACACAGTCCACGATTTATTTCATCTGCGCGGTATGTGTATCCCAGTTTCAAGTATGCCTTTTCATATTTACTTTCTTTTCAAAGCTATCTACAATGAGATCTCAAACTTATTTGCCCAAAAACCATTATTTCTGAAGAATGCTTCGACATTCTTGAACGTAAATCACTTTGAAATATCAATTTAAAAAAAAGACATAATTGTGTTCCAAAATAAATATGTATAAATTTTTATAAATATATCAATATTACAATTATCATTAACAAATATCTTACGTACATTCATCACACAATCAGCAAACGAACAATCGACTTAAATCTAAACAAAAATAAAGATAATGATGAGGACTTACATAAATTAACGCCGCAAATGCGTACGCAAAGAGCTCTTGTAAACTGACTATCTCGAGTGACGAGCGACGATTGTCTACAAGAGAGAATCTATACGAGTGTGCGAATTTTTTCTTCGTAATATATGCCGATGACGCGCGCGATTAATGCAGACGGTGCGTGGGGGATCAGCAATGAGATCTTATACGAACCGAGAGATCGATGCTGGGGCCACTAGTCGTAAGATTGAGTTCGCGCTAGTCGAGGGAATTTTAAGTAAGTACAAAAAGTGCGGGATGTCCCGAGTGAGATTTTTGCCCGCGACACATGACTGATAAGTGCGCGATGGTTGACTCACACGACTTGCGTTGCATTAATAAGATTAATGCGACACGTACTAGGCATTATCGGATGTCTTCTGGAACGTGTTAATGGCATCGCGTTAATGACACTGACTTTATTTATCGCGATCACGTACGCTTTATGTGCGTCCACCAGCGCAAGATGCAAATGAAACGGAGATGGATTAAACCAAACGCCGAGGATATAATCAGCTGGCCTAACTCGAGAAAGCATTCAAAGACTCGGCCTTCTCGAATACCTTTGCAGATCTCTTCACGCTCTCGTCTATTAACTGACCGCCGTCTCTCCAAATTATACGAATTTTCATATTTATCCGAAATGTAAAAGATTATACGTGTTTTTGATATAGAGCTTATCAAATTATACATATCTACTTCACAAAACGAGGATCGCAATATGGAGAGTTTGAAAAAAAAAATTTTTTTTCCATTAAATACATATATAAATTCTGAATTTTGTTGAAAATATGTTTCAAAATATAAAGATTATATGCCATCATTATCCGCTTATTTGCTTATACATACATATTATATAAGATGGTGAATAATACATATTTAAATCACTTTTCCAAATTGAAAAAGAATATAAATCTCACACTATTAATACCTCTTTTTTTAATTAAAATTTTACAATGTTATATTAAAATAAAAATAAAGTAAAAACTGGCTAAAATAAAAATAGAATTATTTAAATTATTTTATAAAAATATTTTATTCACGTGTTTTTAACGACATATTAATTTCGTTAAAATAATTTACATTTTTAAAAGTAATATATTTTAGTCATATTTCCATTTATACTTCTTTTTTTTCTGATTTTACTGTATTTTCTTTCGATGTTAAAGTTTCAAAGTTTTTGAAAAAAGATAAAAGAAAATAAAATGTTAAAGTTATAATGTGTGGTGTATATATATATTTATATATATGTACGTTAATAATTATAAAAACTGATGTGACAAATGTTATAATAGATTTACAATACAACAGATGTTATGTTTTATAAAGTGTACATTGAACATTGAAATATACTTTTTTGAATGTAACAATATCTGTTATGATTGTTACTTTGCTTCCGATATTATTGTTATAACAAATATTTTACGTTAATTTAAACAGTTGAAATATAATTGTGAACTGTAGTATTTACTGGAAAATACGAAATAATACAAATATTATGAATGATACAAAAATCAAAAATAAGAAAAGTGAAAGTATGCCGAGCGAGATACACTATGTATGTTGATAATATCTCGCACGTTGCAAATTATAAAAAATCGATCATATCTATTAGAAGTAAAGTCATTTGCGAGTAAGAACAACGCAATCGCACCTGTTAATTCTCACGTAGAGATAACATTTTTCGATATAAATCATATGTTGTCGCCCGTTGGATCAATGTTATCGTTATATTAATGCTATTGAGATATGTCATAAGATAACGTTATCTTCTATTATATCCCATGTAATATCTAGTAATTCTTAAATGTTGAGAATTAGTATTTTACATAACTCTAACTTGTTAAGGCATAAGCACATGCAAAATCTATTTATATTTCGAATATATCAAGGTAATTAATCAATCTTAAGCGCGAACCATCTGATACTTGCGTTATGTATATTTGTTTCTACTTATAATTAGATATTGTTGACTCTTGTCATTTCAAATGTTCTTTTATACAATATATATTTTTCCCTAATAAGTTTAAACATTATTAACTTTTTAGCAGTAGTATAATATACAAATCGATTTCAAAATATTAATATTATTATTATATTAATTAGTTCCCACGTTTATTTAATACAATTTGAATAACTTTTTGAAAGTTAAACTAATCAATTTTATTTTTTGTCTTTTTTTACTTTTGATATCACAAAACATATAATAAATGCTTTGATATTAAAATTAAGACATTTATTTTAAATATAGTATCAGTTTAGCGTCTATGAAAATTGGCTTGCGATATCGATTTCACCATCCAAAAATCTAAAAGAAGATACCTTTCTGGTTTAAATAATTTTGGCTATAAATTAGCGTATAGTAAGTATGCATTATTTATTCGCTTATTTGAAAAATTTAAATGTAATAATAAGTAAAAAATAAGTCATAATAAAACATAACGCTAATCATTATTATAAAAGCAGCGAAAACACGTCATATAATATTATAATTCTACTTAGTATCCATTTTAATCTAAGAATCACATTTGATTTTTTATGTGATTAGAAAGATCTTTTCTTTTTGTGAAAAACTAAATATAAATAAGTATATAAAAAACAAAACCTTCTTAGCTTAATTTTGGATAGAATTCATTTTTACGTTGAGTTTTGCCAAACTTTATTATTAAATATTTAATATTATTAAATGCAATGAACTACAGTAAGTAATAACTATTTTTTACTTTAAAAAAAGTATTCTCGAGTTATATGTATAAAGAATCTACAATATTTAATTTCTCATATTCATCACGTTACTAATTATCTTATTCATGTTTGTGACGTTTTCAACAATTGTATGAGCTATATTTCTTTACCCGTTAAATATAGTTTTCTCTCATATATTCTGGAAAATTAAGATAAGTATTTAATTTCGAAAAATTTCACAAAAAGTTACTCTAATGAGTTGAAATTATCTTTATAACTTTCACAACTTTATACATCTCATTTCATGCATCCTCATCAAATGGTTGATTTCATAACTGTGATATTAGTTAATTACAAAGCTTCCTTTTTAATTACACCCTTTCATTCACTTGTTTTTAATTACTCGAAAAGACGATTGGTAGAGTACCTTCAAAGAATATACCGATAGAAAAGAGAAACACAAAACTTATACAAGTTTTCTACCAGCTCAACTGAAATAATAATTACTACATTGAAACAGCAAAATAGCGTAAAGAAATGAACAAAATAGTTCATGTTTAACACAATTTTAATAACATACACTTGAATTTGCATTTTTATATATTATTCTCTGCTCTTATAAATTTAATTTTATCTGCTGCTGGTTTCGGAGATAGCTCTGATGTATATGTTAGCAGCTACAGGTCGTATGGGGTAAAATCATCATTTGAGTGTCCATTATCTCAAAAACTAGAGTCAATTTAACAAAACTGTTGACATTTTTGGGCTTATCATTTTTAAAATACTTTAAATTCAAACATTCTTGGCAATTAAACAAAAGTTTTTTTGTTGACTAGTGTTATATATCATATGTTGTATATTTTTTATAATTAAAATAATTTGTATTTAAATATAATAATTCTAATAAAAATGTTATCTCCTTGATAGCATCTCTATCTTAACAAAAACAATTACATTTACCAAGTAAAGAGATTTGAATACTTTAATAGGGTGGGTTATACCGGCATAACGTAGTTACCCCTGTCGGAAAGATCAAAGAGTCCGACTAAGAGAGATACCATATAATTTCAGTATTACCGATAGTTCCAATATTGCTTGCTATCAGTTGATTCCTTGTCGACACTCTCAAAAAAGTAGTATAAATATCATGCGTCGAAATTTTCAATAAAATTGCTCACAATTTTACCTATTATGAATAAATTAAAAATATACGAGCTCAAAAATGTTTGCTAGAATTCTTACACAGTGAAATTTAGCAAATTATATATTTTTGTAATGTCTTAAGAATTTTTATATTATTTTTAATAATCTAATGTGTGTATAGATAATATTATCAGTTAAATTAATCTGTTGCCTATCGAGCATATTCATTAAATGTCTTTCATAAGTCTAAAATCTTTGCAAATATTTGTTACATCGATCATTAAATAATCATATTTAATACAAATGGTTAAAATTCAAATATTTTACATTTTCAAATCCGTGTTTTTATCAATAAATTTTATTACACTGAACATTTGCACCCTTCTTGTCATCGTTCGCATCGATCGTAGATGGCAGCAGAGGGAAGATGAAGACTACGAAAAGTCATTTTAATTTTATTTGATTTTTATCTTTCACATATAATACATATATATTAAATTGCCACGTTATAATGTGTCTAGTCCACTGATTTATTTCAATTTTAATTTTCAGAAAAAAGTAATAACGCAGCATTATTATTTAAGATGATTACTAATTCAAAAAATAAGTTTTTTACATCCGTCTTATAATATGCACAATAATTATATTGTCTTCTATATTTTGAGACTAAAAATAACTTCTATTTCTTTCCTTTTCATTGTATATATGTGTAGATGTACTCGATTATATTGCTGTCATATTCGAAAACTCAGAGATTCTTCATACCGCTCGATTGAACACGACTAGAAGATGCATACGTCAATTCCATTGAATCTAGCGAATTATTGTGCCTCAAGCACCAGAGACTAGGTCTCTACATTGATACGCAATATATCCTGACCAGCATGCCCACATCGCGGCCATATGAGATTCGTGGATAAATTCAATGGAAGTATGATTTTGATGCGCACAGAGTGGAAGATATTCGAGACTTGTGTACCCGACCAATTTCAAGTATATCCACGTATTATGGGATTATCATTACCGTGTGCCGAATACCTATTATGGGGTGGATGGGACTTTCGCGGGACCTTCGAACGCGGCATTCATCTGCTAAGGCGATTACACGTCTGGGGCTACCTGTAGCCGATGTTCGCCTTTGTTACGTACCTTTACGAAATCGCGGGAAAGTAACGTATGACCCATAACGAGGGTATTTTTCGTGAATAATGCACGGTATGGACATGGCAACTTCCTGTTTAACGTAGAAATAAAAATGTTATCATGATATAAAGTTTAACTGCTTAACTTTTTTCAAGAGAATTTTTCTAAAGCGTAATTTAGTATTCAGAATTATTTATGTATTATATGATATTAGTATAATTATTACTTAAATATTATTAAATTTTTATATAACTATTTGTGAGAAAGTTTATGAATATCTAAATGTACGTTATCGAAAATGTTAATGATTTTTTTATTGTTACATATGTAAAAAATATATAATAACTTATTAGTCATAATTAATCGTATAATCTTGCATTGAAAAAACTTTCTTTTCTTTTCTAAAAATGATTTAAA